ACATCCAATCCCGACCCCTCCCCGAAAAAGCAGAAAGCTTAGACACATAGTACTTCGGGCTGACGGCCGAGAAGTGCCCTGACATCCTGGCCATGTGCGACCAGATGCTCCCCGACGGCACCGCGAGGGAGAGTACGGGGGCGGAGACCGCGGGAGACGGACACAGTGGTGCCCAGGGCGCTTCGGCGGATGCTAGTAAGCGGAAGGTCGCGAAAGTGGAATCCAGGGAGAGGAACGTGGGCGTCAGTGGCCACCAGAAGAAAAAGAAGAAGCAGGACGCGCAGATCGAGAACACGGCGAAGGTCGCCATGTCCGCGGTGAAGGGGGAGCTCGGCCTTGACGCCCTGTTCGGAACGTCGTCCGCACCCACGTACGCCGACGCCCCGACATCCTTCTACGACACGAAGGAGGGGTTAGANGAGGATATCAGGAAGGAGAAGGAGCTGGGTTCTGACGCTGACGAAGAAGACCTACAGCTCTTGCGGGACCGGGCGACGACCGTGAGGGCCCAAATCAAAAAAGAAACGGCGGCAGCTAGTGAGGATGGCTAGGTAGCCGGCACGTGGGTGCGTGGGGCGCGGGCGGTTAGCACTTATCTGTTGTGGACGGCGCCGGCTGTGCTGGTGTCTTCTCAATACTTTTTAACCTCCTCCTATATCACGTGTGACGAATGCCATGTTTGGTGGGGTCTTTGGCTGCATCTTCACTTAGACATGCATGTTGGCGTAACCTTTTCTTTTTTTCTTGTTGATAGATGCGAATCGAAGTGGTGGCTTTTTGTGGTGGTGGCGTACAAGATTAAAGAGATGCAACTGGCCCGTCCGTTGCAGACCCTTTTTTTCCGTAAGCGTAATTTCCCGGCAGCACAACTATGTGTATGCCGTTTGTTTCCCGCGCGGCACTTCACCACCTCACCCTTTACGCCATTCTGGCATNCAACTGGCCCGTCCGTTGCAGACCCTTTTTTTCCGTAAGCGTAATTTCCCGGCAGCACAACTATGTGTATGCCGTTTGTTTCCCGCGCGGCACTTCACCACCTCACCCTCTAAGCCATTCTGGCATTAGCGAGAGAGTATTATTTGGTAATGCCGTACTGTGGCTGCATCGTTCCTTGTGTTGTTGTGCCTTCGTTGCTTTCTTCGGCAGCGCGCACAAGGCACGGCAAGGAGATGTAATGCTGTGTTGCGACAAGGCACGTTGTTTTTTTTCCGTCGTGCATGGTTGGTCCGGCCATTTTTCGGCGGCGGCTTGCTGCCATGCCCTATGCCTATCAATGTGGGGATGCAGGTTATTTTATGCGTTGCATCACCGCGGAGGTGGAGTGTCGCCGCGTTAGTCTTGTTGTTTGTAGCGCCGTTGTGGGGCTGTTTGTACGTCTTGTTGTGTGGTTGCGTTTTTGTTCTTGGCAGCACCCAGAACAAGGCAGGGAGATGTGACCACGTATACAGACGTCTCGTCGGGGGGGGCGAATGAATCCCGTTTTTTTTTTTCTTTGACTGTCTTGGCTCGGTGTTTTTTTCTGCTTTCACCGTCCACATCCATCGTCTGCATGGTTGATCCGACGTGGGGATACAATCAAATTATCAATGCGGTCCACACGAAATTAAAGAGCACCGCGCAAAAGATCTCAAACCAACGGCATGGTATTTCTCCCTGCGCGGTCGGTACTTGCACATGTCTGATAACCACGCTGGCCGCTACGCGCTCAAAGACCGAAGAGTATTCTAAGGGTGCTTTTGCCCCGGATCGCTAACGGGCGACAAATCAGCCTCTTCATCGCTTGGGGGTGACACTTTTTACCGACAACAGAAGATCCCGCGCGCAGTAACGAACGAAAAAATTGTTGCCGAGAGAAAGGGACCGCTCATTCTCCAAACACTACTGCGAATTGCAGCACACGTCTCGCATTCATCGGAGGGACTTTTGTCGCAAAAATAAATGGCAAACCTAAAAAATAAAGGGCACACAAATACGCATATGCACACACGACAAGGCACGTACGCCCCTAAGCCCCTTCCGGTCAAGGGCAGGCCAATATATCACAGTACCCCCCGCGTCTCCACAACGAATCCCGAGTACCCGACCACCTCACCCCAGCCCTATCTGGCCACCCGCCAAGCCTTCATGTGTTCCTCGACCAGCACCGTAGTCCAGAGCGGGTTCAACCCGCACAGAACCCCTTCCGCCTGTCAGCCCTCGACGACTACAGTGCCTCGTTGCGCTGCAGGTTGTATAGAGGGCGGTATTGTCGCCTGTTTTCCAGTAGCATCCTCAGCGCCAGGCGGGTGGGGACGTCTCCCGACCTCGTCGGCTTCGGCACCCCCGTGTCGGTTGTTTGAAAGTCTTCCGGCAGCGTGTCGTTTTCCGTCAGATGGGGACGGTCGCGCCCGGTCTCCGCGTCTTCCTCTGACATGTGGACCGGCTTCACTTGCTCGTCGCGGAGGTAGTTGTGCAGACGAAAGGGGGCCGTGATGAGGGCGCTGCGGCCTGCGAACTGAACCCGCAACGGCCTCCACAAAATCCCCCACTGCCCCACGAGGATGCCGTAAGCTTGCTCGATCTTTACTAGCAGTTGGATCAGGTGGAAGTTGAACGAGTCTTCGTCTCGTGGCAGCAACTTCCCCGGGTACGGCGTGAGGAGATGATCGCTGAGAGGGTACGCCGCGTCGCCTAGCACGTAGTACCCAGGCGGTAGGCGCGCCACCGAGTCTGACAGCGAAGAACGATTCCATGCTGTCCAGTCATTCGTCGCACCGGCCGAAATGGCCGACATGCTGCAGAAGCGGTAGTTGGCGTCACAGGTCGCCTGGATGTTCAACCCGTACCCACTCTTGTTCCNCAAGTAGGCGGTGAAGTCATCCATGATGAGGACACAAACGGATAAACATGAAAGAAACATAAAAATACACACACGTTTTACCCACCTCCCACTCCTTCGCTTGCCGGGCGCAATCATCCCTTGTCTGAGGGAAAAAGAACGCCCCGACCTCCGGCGTGTTGTTGATCGCGTCCACCACTTCCCACAAGACGTGGAATACAGTCTCCTTCGCAATGCCGAACAGCACCGCGACATCTAGGTATGATGCTCCTGCCAGCATGAGCAACGCCACCGCCAAACGATTTTTTACCGGCACAGCTCCGCTGCGCGTGCGCTTCCCTGCATCCCATAAAACAAAACAATGGCAGCATGACACCATGTGTAAGCTACATACGTGGAGGCGCAACCAAGCACGTTGTAGACTATCCGTGTCATTCAACGTGCCCACGTTCCTAACCCTCTGGGGGGCGTTGCATGATAGCGTATGTCGGAGGTCGTTCGTGGTGCCGGAAAAAAACAAGTTCGGCCGGAATTGGTAGCTAGATATTGGACACAGACAAGCCCAGCATCGAGACAGGCTTCAACACCGCACAACACGCATACCCGAGAAAAAGCAATTCCGCCCCTGCGCTTGAACGACGTCGTCTGTCGTGTACGACCTCCCGGTCAATCTGCTGCTCGATCGTGTCATGCAGATTCCGTCTGAGACTGCGCTGTCGAACGCATACCCGGGAGGGCAGTTATTGCGCGGAGAAGAGGCAACCGCAAATTCGCTGACGAGCGACCACGTCAACTGCGTGCCTACACGGCGAGAGGGAAACGTCATGAACTCAAACCACAACGGCACCCTCGCGAGGTCAATCCCATTCTTCGGCTTTGACGGCATACGAGCAAGAGTGTGCGGGAGGAAGGTATACGTCAACGACACTTGTGTTTGCGAGGTCGAGGGAGTGGCTACCCTATGTCGTATTTTGGAGATCTTCTACGATGGAGAACGTCGGTTGGTGCTAGTAACCGTGCGGCTGTTCAGGGGGGTGAGCGAGGTACGGGGCGTGGGGAATGAGGAGAGACGTGGCGGACTGTTACGGGTGTGGGAGGGTTGCACCTGCAAACTGGAGTTGAAGGCCAACGAGGTTCTGGGGCTGGTTGAGATGGAGACGCCGCACGAGATGGCGGCAGCTGGCCACCCGTACCCATGGGACCGCTTTTTTGGGGAAGGTTTTGTAAGACAGACCGGTACAAAGCGAGCACTGCAGAGTAACGCCAGGCCTAAGCCGTTCGCGGTGACGGAGTCCTCGTGGTGCGCCGAGGGGCCCGCAAACAGGCCGCTTTGGGGGCTGCGACGTGAGGGCGTACATCTCAACGACATGAATCTGCCCTACTACTCCGCGCCGACGGTGTTTCACTGCGATGCATTCAACGCCTTTGGAATGGGTTGCAAGGTGAGCGTGTGGTTTTGAGATGGTTTCGCGCGAAGATATCGGAATATGTATCACACACACAGGACCACCATCCTTATGTTATTGCGGGACGTCCCCCCAGATCTAACCCCGAGCGGGGGTGATAAATTCGCAATAGCTTACCGTGATTCCCCCATCCTTCGTTTATGCACATGCATGCGATGTTGTGGTTCGCAGCATTCCATAGGAGGGTCCTACTTTGGATGGGCTTGGCGAACGCCAGCGGTTCAGCGGTTGAACCATCGAACGCACGTCGGCACTCTCGCGAGCCCGGGAGCTTGCAGCCAGGGAGAGACCGGCCTGCAGTGCGAAATACTCGGACTGCTACAAAATGGATGCCTGGGGCGGTGCAAGCTGACAGACGAAGAAGGGGCGGCGTTTGAGCAAGAGGTACGGTCTACGTTCACTGAGATCATGGAACATCGACAACAGTAGTTATCTGTGCTAACCTCGGAATTTTCGGTTGTGGAAGCGGGGTTTATCATACGATGTTGGTTGCATAACTGGTTCAGCTGAAGCGAACTTCCCGTACGGCAACGTGTCGGTATTAGGCATGCCTCTACTAGTGCCATTAGTGCGTATGTGGGTGCGGGTGGCCTTTGCTCGGGTAACGCACTAAAAACTGACGACCACTGCACCAACACACCGACCAAATTTCGATCCCGCCACGACTCCGCCAAATTGTTGCCACCCGCCAGGTTTTCGTGCGTGGCGGTCTGCTGCTGATGTGTGGGGATGGACAAGGGCGCTCGAAATTTCTCGGCACGAAGGCTCCCAACAGCTGGTCCAAACATCCGTGCGCGTACTGCATGGTGAGTCAACGCGACGATGATACCGGCGGCGATCTGGGGAACCCAAGGTTCGACATCGACAAGCACCGCCGCACATGGGGCCAGATAACGGATGGCTTGTCCGAGTTGGATGCCCTCGCGGATGTCCCTCGCGAGCAGGATCGACGCTCAAGAGACCTGGGACTGGTTCCGCCGGATGCGTCAGGGCTCCCCCTCCCTCTATACACCGCCATGCGCATTGTTCCGACGGAGAACGTACCCGTCGAGCGACTGCACTTCGATGCGCTGGTGAGTGATGTACACAAGTTTACCCTGCATGTGAGAAACCCCCCAGGGGACACACGTTGACGACGTCTCCAAGCGGAAGATTATACGCCGTCCTCAAGAGGTTCAAAATTCCGACGCATGCACTTCAGTAAGTAGTAGAACGACGGTTGTTGTGATCGCCCACATGATCACTTCGTCGGCTAAGGGTTGCATTCTCTCCTTGTCTGCGCGGCATCCCACCACCGTTGCCGGTAGGGGCAAAGTCAGCTTTGCCAGGTGTTCTTCTTGGAGATGCTCTCCACTACAGGTCGCCGGCTTGTCTCAGCCATCATGGCCCAGAAGCCGTCTTTACTCTACCCACCCGGAACACGGAAGCTGAAGGATGTCGTGACCAACTACGCTTCTCTGAATGGCAGCGACAAGTGGACACTGCAATCGATCATTCTTCTCATATTCCGGATGGTTCTCCAGGATGTTTCGGCAATGGTGAGTACATTTTGTAGCGTAGTCGGGCATTCGTTGTTCCCGAGAAAAGCCAACACGTAGTATTGCATACGATCCATGCATGTGCTCAAGAGTTATATCCCGCCGAACGGAATATCTCTCCCGCCGCAATGCTTCTTCAGTTTACAGAGCTATATACATTCGTTTTCGTACCCCTCCCTGGCTAGAGCACGAGAAGCGTGACCATAACTTCACCCGGTACTCTTGGCACGTGCGCGGTGCACAGCACTCCTCCTCTCGAAATTGTGTACGCCTATCTGTTTGCAGAAGTGGAACACTCATCATTTGTGCAGCTTCGAAAGTTGTTTCGCAGAGGAATCACAGCAGTAGCTCAGATCCACACGCACGGGCGAAACTCGGCGTGCCTCACTCTAACTGCCCACGCAGAGGGTTAGCATTTTAGGTGCGTCAAAGGGCGGCACCTAACCACGGTACTGGGAGACACCTCGGCCCTTGTTCGCTGCTCTGTCATGACTCATCCCGGCCATGATGTTTACCTGCCAGAGGAGAAACATGAAGACACGGGAGATCAAGGACCTCGTCACGGAGTGGGGAACGTACGACAAGGTCTTGGAGGCGCTGCGGGAGCTTATGAAACGGGCGTCTCTCCTGTCGTTCGCCCTCCGCGCGCCATCTTTCACCGACCCGGAGCTACGGCAACTCGACAAACTCGCGCGTGACGCGGTATGTTCTGATCCTCATTGTCAGTTCGTCCTTTTGAGGGGGACACGTTCAGTTGACTCTGCGTGCAGTTGGACAATAATACTTGCTAGAGAGGGCACAATGGCCCGCGCCAACGGCCGCATGGCCACATCCTGTTGCTGCGTCGTCGCTCCTACAATCACACGCGGCAGTAAAGCCCCACAATACAGCTGCTTTGATAACAAAATGCCACGGCTTGCGGGAGGTTCAAGTTTTCAGTGCGGGGGCGTCGTGTTAATCCAAACAAGAACCAATCCACAAACAAGAGGCTGGGTCGATATATTTTGTCTCCGACTTTTCGCGAAACACAGAAACAACGCCCACAAAGGTTGCAATGGAAAACACCGTGCCTTGGACGCCCACGACTTTTACGTCTACATCGGGCGATTGCCCATTCTGGTTGCGTCAGAGAGCTGAGACACTAGTTCGGTGCGCGAAAACACCCCTGCGGTCGTACGTCAAAGCGACAGTGGGCCATTTCTGGTTGGTGGTATTAGCTGGGCGTGGAACCATGGCCAAGTTCTTTGGTGTCTTGCTTTGGTACCTATACACGACATGTGACGTGGCCCAAACAAAAAAAAAAACAAATGCATACAGCAGTAAAAGTTCATGACAACACAATACAGGACACTTTTCATCCTCACCAGTGTTCAGAGTTTTTTCAAAAGGATTTCACACCTCATGCTCCAGAGAAAGTTAAGAGAATGGCAAGCAAATGACTCGTGACGTTTTCACCTTTCAGGTGGAAGTCTTTTCCAAAGTACTGGGGAGGACGGGATCGCGGCCCACCATACACTCCATCCTACATGCGGTAGAGGCGATTCGTCTGCACGGTGAGAGCGTTTCGAATGTGGGTTGTGGATCGTGGGTTAGGGTTGGCCTCGTTGAACGCCATTCGCTGGATCCTTGCAGCTAAGAACACCGCCGACAGACACGATGGGTATTGCGGGGGGCAGGAAGAGGGGGGGGGGGGCGCCACTCACCCACCACTCAACCAAGCATTTTGATAGTGCTTCACCGTCCATGTTTATCTGAAAAATGCACTCACGCCGAGCTCGTCACGTGACCTCTCGCTGCCTGCATCACACGTTGAACGAAACGTACAGGAATATGTCCGGACGCCAGCACGGGTGAACACACCCACCAGGTGAGCAAGTCTGGAAGGGGTGTGGACTGCGGTAAGAGCCCTTTACTGCACATGGCTAAGCGGGCGAACGTCAACAGCGCATTCTTGGCGATATCCAACGGGGTGCCGTACAGAGTCACTAAGTACAACCGACAGACAAAAATGCATGAGATCGTCACCGTTCGACCTGGTGATGGCTGTGTCCGGCTCATGCAGTCGCTGGCGAGCTTCCTCGGCCATGACCGCGTGCCCACAGACATTCACGCCTAGGCGGTTCAGACGCCAGCACAGCTTAGCGGACAGTACCCGGGATCTGCGGTTCGGACCGCTTCTCTGTTCAACAACGGGGACGAGCAGCAGCTAGATGGCGACTGNTTTACTGCACATGGCTAAGCGGGCGAACGTCAACAGCGCATTCTTGGCGATATCCAACGGGGTGCCGTACAGAGTCACTAAGTACAACCGACAGACAAAAATGCATGAGATCGTCACCGTTCGACCTGGTGATGGCTGTGTCCGGCTCATGCAGTCGCTGGCGAGCTTCCTCGGCC